TTGTTTCATGCATACATACATGTTTGCAGTCATGTCATAAAATAAATAGATATATGTGTTGTCTGAGTGTTGATATTGAGTGTGTGTACTGGTTATGTGTGTGTCTATGTTTGTCTGTTAGAGAAAGGAAGAACATACATTTTTTATCGCAACACTGTGTGTTGTTTTGTGTGTGTCTGTGTGTATGTGTCTACATTTACACACGTTCATTGCTCCCATTGTAGGTCTTGGCTTTTGTTTTGCTCCCCTGTTCATCAAGTGTGTGAAGGTGGGGGTATGTGTGGATGTGTGTTTGGGTAGGGTGGAGGTGCCGAGTGCAGGGGCCCCATTGTTGACAGCTTGTATTCTCATTATTTCTCATATAGAGGAGGGTTGCCCCAGTTACCCGAGAAAAGATACTCCATTGAAAATCTCCACAGTACTCAGGATTAGGCACATCAACAACAGTGCTTAGTAATGCTCAATTCTCTCAAGGGTCTACTTTGTGCTGCATAAAGTGTGAATAATTGCCAAAAAGAAAATTAAAAGCGATTGGAGATCTGGGGCTTGTACCACATCAGCAAACAAATTTCACCCCCTGTCAGTCTACTCAGCTTTGGAACATGAAACTCATTCAATGCTACTGAACCCCTCCAACCAGCCAATCAGATGCCTTCGCGCACCACTACCCAACATGCAAAAAATAGGAAATCACATATCTCTCAGTGCACCGCACCTAATTGCTCTTGACAGATGATAATTATCATCAGGGATTTGTTCTGCCCACTCATCCAATGAAATCGCTTCATTCACCAGGAACGGTGTGTTGCCATTCCCGGGCTGCAATTAAGGAATTAGATGGGATATGTTCCCCACCTTATGTGTGGCAATTAGCTGTGACCTTTAAAATGCAAAGGTCATGTATTAAGATGTTATCAATTACGTGAATCAGGTTCATAGATGTTGCTGTCACAGAGCTTTCATCCATGGAAGCAATGTTAATTACACAGAGAGAAGCCGGAAGAAAATTTGAATATATTATAAACTTATTTTAGATTTACAATTTACTGTGGAAATCTGCTGTAGGTCATGAGTAGATTCTCTCTTTTTAAAGAGTAAGCATACCCTTGATTTTTGCCAGAGTCCTCACTTCTAGCATATTTAAAAAATGGATAAGTAGGGGGGCAAACGTCTGTGTGAATGCGGTATAATATTTGTGAACACTGATAAACAAACTGGCACGTTGACAATTTCAAATGATCTTAACAGTGCTGACATTTGAAGGAAGAGATAGTCCAAAATGAAAGAATTTAGCTTATTACTTGTTTGGCACCATTCAGTTTTATACAGCCTGCCAGAGCATAACCTGCTTCACCAAAGAGATGTGGTTACAAATACATTTCTTGACTAAATTCCCCCATACACTCAAAAATATGTTTTTCTTCTTGTTCTTACAGTTGGATGTTTGAGCTTGACTGTGCAGAATGATGTATGCATAGTTTGACAATAGAAGGATCTTTTCACATTCATCTGCTGAAAGTGGAAAGTTTCTCTGTGCTCATTAAAAATATGATTTTAAGGGGCGGGCCTACAAACGTGAATCGTGACATCACAATTGGATAGTTTGGAAGTAAAATCCTTATCCAATTTTTTTTTATGAGGTAAAAGGAATAGATGCCTTTTTAAGGATTTCACTGTTGACATCTTTGCAGAAAAAACAAACCAGACACACATTCTTCTTAGTACTTTTAGAACCTGCAGTTCCATGATCTTTTAGTTATTCTCCAGTTAATGAGGTGGTTGGACACTGCACTATGTCACCAATGTCCATTTTACCACTTTCCCAATGACTCACTCAAATGAATTTTGCCCTTCCACTGGAATCTGACTGACAGTAACCATAACCACCACTGTACCTAACACGCATATTAGTTTTCTTACTCAAAGTCTGGTCCCACTCCGGGTGAAATTTATAGATGATAGCATATCATGACGTTGCTGGGCATGTTTTCATCCATTCGCTTTTATACTGAGCATATAATTGTAAGTTGTCAAAATAAACGCCTCCTGTTCATTTCATTTATTGGGAGAACATTTCAGCTGCTGACTCAATCAAGCTCCACTTACTAGCTTTTCAACCGCATCTAGGGATCTTCATCAGGAGTTCTGATTTGTTTAAATTTGGATTTTTGATAAAATGATTAATATATCTTTATAATATATATGTAATATATATATATATATATTCATCTATGAGTTGTAGTAGAAGTAGTAGTAGGAGTAATAAAAAAAAGTTTACTACTCAAGAAGCTATAATTCAGCTTATAATACCTATATCAGTATTGGTATATATATGTAGTCCAATAAGGAATGTGTTTGGCATTTTAGGGATCCTTCTCAAAAATATTGGTGTCTGTAAAAAGAGATTTTCTTAAGGATTTTTTCTTGATATTGATGTAATATTTATCACTATCAGTATCAGATCAGTATCAGCTGGCCTATAGTAGTCATTCTTTAAACAATGTGTTCTGTTTTTCTCCCACCAGAATGGCACAGTGCAATGTGAGGCCATCTCCTGCCCTCCCCCTCAGTGCCCAACGGGCACAGTGCCTGCCTACGTACAGGGTGCTTGCTGCAAGGAGTGCCAGCGTGAGTGGAGTACCCTTAACCCCGTCACCCTCCTACACTCATACAATCATGGACACGATAGCACACAAACACGCACACACAACAGTAAAACAACCTCCACCACCACCGCCACCAGATTTAGAGCACACATCACGCCTCCACAAGGGCTGCCTGACAATTGACCAGGGCTCTGCTGTGTTGCTAAGCTACCTCCTAACATGCCTCTTGAGATGGGTCCAACCTTTTGCATATACATGGACCAATCAATTATTCACTAGCTGGCTTCAAAACACAGATGGCCACCAGTCACACAGACATGAGCCAGTTAATCTGGGGTAGCTACGTGGCATGTGATGTAAAGTACTTCCTATTTATGGCAGCCATGTTAAGGCTTTGAGAAAAGTGAAGAAGAAAGAAGTGTTAAGTGCCTGAAATGATGCACACTCTCACTGGCAACAGTGTCTTCTTAAATGTCCATTTTTTTTTTAAACTTTTGAGCACTGATATGTTCTTGCTGGATAAATAATTCTGTTTCATCACACATCTACATAGAGGGTCTGTTTTTCCGCAATGAACTCTTATTAGCCTCCTCACCGCAGCACTCTGCATCTCATATTCTCTCAATTCCCCTCTCAATAAAAATGGATTTCAGAGGATATTAGCTTTTTTCACCCCAGCATTCTTCTGATATTAACCCAAATGAAACTTAAAGAGATGTGTTGATTTGCTTTTAAAAAGCAGAAAGAGCTACCTGAGTATGAGAGTATAAAACAAAATTGAGTTTGTGCATTAAGCAGAGAAATTAATTAGCTAAGAGTGTTTTTATTAACCGATGTTCTGCGTGCAACTTAAAGGTTAAGGCTGCAGACAACATGAATGATAGAAAAATACAGCTGACTTTATGCATATATAGTATTCCTTTGTAGATCTCACTCCGCATCTTGTGAAAGCTGACTTCACTTGAGAACTTTCTCACCACACACTCCCACACACTGCTGCCGTTGCTGCCGATTTAACTCTTTATCAGCAGGAAACCATTAGTCTTGGATTCTAATCAGCTTGCGTCGGCATCATTTCCACTGACCCACGGGTCGGGGCTGCAACACAGGGCTTTAAAGTATGACTCTGAATCTGCTGCTGTGTTACACAAATATAAACACGTAGCAGGTAATCCCCTTAAACTCAACACCCCTGTGCTCCCTTATCTCAACGAGGTAGACAAACACACAGCTAATTACGCATGCTCCGGCTTTGGAGAGAAGAGTGCCGCAAGTTTCCCCACTACAAAGACATGATTCGCTCTCCAAATTAAAGCCTTATCTGGCAGCACAAGGCCTTGCGGGGAGGGGTTCTGAGTCTGTTCTTTTTTTTTGATGATCTGTCAAGTAGAGCGTCAAATGGCTGTTTCAGAAGTCCTTCGCTTTCATGATACACCGCTTTGTGACAGGGCCTGACCTGTGGTGTCAATCATTTCTCTTCCTCATATCAGTCTGAATCTGTCTGACCCCAACTGCTCATCAAACACAGACTTTCAGCCCATGTGATTATGTTTGCGCCCCTGTCGCCCTATAATTATCTGAAACGGATTCTCCTCAGTGTTGCAGTGAGGAGTGTTTTCTCTCTCTACATGTTAATTATTTCTTCACTTTCTTAGTAGCATTGCTTAATTGGGTTTGATATGCTTGATTTGGTTTGACTCAATTCCCCTGAGGACTAAATAACAAGGACAGATTGTATCATACATGTAAAACAGTGCTGTTCCACCATGTCCACTACTGTAGCACTGTGGATTTGGGTGTGTGATTTGTCATTAGGTTTGACATTTTATAGACAAAAAGGATTTATTGATTCATCCAAAAAAAGTGGTAGATTAATCTGTTTACAACATTTTCTTTTCTAACTACTCCAATGATAGTTATCAAACAATTGGTAATTTTATATGAAAACTAACCAATCAAAGTAAATTGAACAGAGGATTTCTTCAATAACAATAACATAACATATAGAAATCTTAAACATCTCACAGCAATATAATTTTTAAATTACACTCAGTTGCAAACATTTTTTATTCATTAAAGCTGAAAATAAAAACAACCAATCAGAGCCGAGAAAGATAGTTGAGTCTCATTCCCAGGGCGTCAAATACAGACGTTTTGGGATCCTGGGAATTAGACTCAACAATCAACTATCTTCAAGCTTCCAACCCAAAGCTATCTTTCGGCTCTGATTGGTCGTTTTCATCCAAGCCTGGTGGATTCTTGCAAATGCAATTAGGAGCGCTAGAATGAGCCAGAGGAACCAGATTTTTCCACAGAATATCTGTCTCATGCACTACTGTCAGAGCACAGTGAAAATGTCAGCAATAATTACAAAAAAGTTATTTTTATAAAAAAGTTACCTACTGCAGCTTTAAAACAATACGGATTCTTATGTTGAAAATGTATACTGATCAAGGGAGTAATGTGTTTTGTTTGTATGTTTATTTTTGATGTTTTTATTTGTGTGTGTGCTGATGTTTCTGTGTCTACCACCAGCTGTCTGCCTGTTTGGTGGAAGAGAGCTGGTGGAGGGGGATCAGAAGGCTGTGCGCGACTCTTCTGGCAGGTGCCTGCTGTTTGAATGCAGGGTAAGTCATGTCAAACCCCCCCCCCCCC